GCTAATAATAGAATTTGATAACTATATACGCTAATAATAAGAATTTGATAACTATATAAGCTAATAATAGAATTTGATAACTATATATGCTAATAATAGAATTTGATAACTATATAAGCTAATAATAGAATTTTGATAACTATAAATGCTAATAATAGAATTTGATAACTATATAAGCTAATAATAGAATTTGATAACTATATAAGCTAATAATAGAATTTGATAACTATACATGCCAAAAATAGAATTTGATAATTAACTTACCAACTCTGAGCACCACCCCAAGCTTATCGGATTCTGGATTGAATTCTCTCTCAAATGTCACATCAATATCAAAACTTTGTCCACGTCTGACAATTAAGTACGGAACATCATAATCATTTGTGTTGTGTTCAACACTGTTACTATAAATCTTCAGATCAACGCTCTTTACCTTCAGTTGTCCATCTGAAATAATTACAAGATCAATTACAGTGAAATATATCGTTGTTTGATACTTCATATTGAACACAAAATCGGATTATCATTTATTATAAATTAAATTGTTGTGTTTACAGGACACAGTATTCGTTGGATGAAAATCAAAAATACTTACTCTAATATCCATGTCATTGGTTGTTAATACCGTAAATACCAAAACAACCAGTGCACATGCATAATAAAGAATTTTATATTTTTATAATATAATATAAATGAATACCGTATTTATAGGTAGAGTCTGTAAATCTGAAGCTTAATGATTACAAACTATATTTAGTGAAATATGTTTGATAATTTTAAAAATATTCTACCAGTATTAACCTTTTCACCACCAGTTCCCTCTTTTCATCACAAATTCACAAAAAAGTCCCGTTTATAGTCTGCACTTCCTTCAAAAGATTGGGACAAGACAAATTTTTTGAGTAAAAACTGAAAATTGACTGAAATTTGGTCCTTAATAGAAGTCGCACCCATTATTTTTGAATAATTGAGAACAAAAAATTCATCATTTCTCATATGTGTAGATGCTGTAATAGAACCCGCATCCCCTCTATTGCATTGTACCCTTTTAATAGAAACCAGATTTTACAGTAATTTTTAGAAAAATTGAAGAATATAAGAAAAACATGCAGATAAATTTGGGCGAAAAAGTCTGGTGGCGAAAAGTTTAAATATCTTGGTACAAAGATGAAAGAAAGATGCTAGCATTATCTATATCAGTGTACATTTTCTGCATCAGAATGACAACTATATTGTGTGTTAGATGTTAAATTAGCACTGTAATTGTAATTTACATGTACCGTAATACCATCACACAAAGTTCATAAAATCATAAACATGCTTTCATAAACAACTTAAATTTAAATTGATTAAACAGATTTGGTAAACCCTTATGGTAGCACTTAAAATAATTGAGGTGTATGCAAGTAGTCTTGATCTTTACTAAAACCATAAATTCTATTTATTTATAAAAAAAAATACCAATATATTTAAAAAACAATACTCACTGTGTTGACTATGATAGAATGCGTATCGTAATCAAGTCAACACAGTGAGCAGATTTTTATGCAAATAAACTCTTTCTTAAGTGTCTACATTCCAATAAATTGTACCTGCCCTCCACACTCTTGTCGATATTAACTGTAAAGTGTTTCTTAGCAGACGTGGCAGAATTGTGACTAGTGAAATATCATCTCAAAATTAACAGATATAAACTGGAATGGCCCATTGTAAATTAATAATTTTACAGTTTATGCACAATGTTTGATACAGGTCCCATGCAACGAAAACAACATGGGTAAAATATAATGTTTGTTTACACAAAACTTAAAGGTACATTGACAACAGTGGTGCTTCAATTATTTGACTGTTTTTTTGAACAAATCTCCACTTGAATTTAATTTGTATACTGTGCCAAAACATGTGTAATATCATATACATGTATTATGTAACATACCCCAACCACCTGACCTGCATTGTGGGGCACTTAATAAAATGCATACAACCATAGAACTACAATTTGTAGTTTCATGACACAATCGACTTGGTAACACATTAAATAACAATAGAAAGTCCTTGAGAACATATATTACCTGAGGAAGGGGGTTGAGGTGGTTCTAAAATCAACAATGTTTGTGGTCGCCTGCCTTCTTGGTTAAATAAAGCTTCAGTTCTACCTCGAGGTCTGGAAGGTGTGGTGCTTGGAGGTTTGGTACTGCTGGCTCCTGATCCCATATTGACTACGTACAGGTTGATGTGTTCAAAACACGGATTATACATTCATATATAAAATATGTAGCTTCTGCAGTATAAATCTAATACACTCAGCTTATAATTATCGGGAGAAAGGTGTGATAGATACTCCATGCAATGACTTTGTTTACGGTACACTGCCAGCTTAGTTTCTTGGTGATGCAAACACATACATATCCCCCCATTCAACCACATTGACCTCCGTCTCTGAGGACACTATAAAAGAACCAAACACCTAATTTGCATATCAAAACAGAGTGTAAGAATCTAAACGCCCTTAATTGTCAAATAAATAGAACAATAGCCTTGATGGTAAATGAATATTTCACCTGGCATATATGGGGTCATATATATATATATATAGATATATACCACGCTTGAGAGCAACTCTTATTTATGCTTTGTTGTCATGGTTACACTAATCAAAACATATACACAGATGGAATGACCTTGATGACCTATAGAAGTGCATGATTTTCAAGAGCATATCAACTGACGATTAAATTTCCCAACCATTGCGAAATACTGATATGAGTTGCAGTGTGTAATAGATACAGATTACATTGATTATTTTATTTTTACTTTCACTATCTGCACTAGAGGTGCCATGAGTGTGTGGTATAATCAGTGAAAAGAAAGACTGTTTTTTTGGAGGAGGGGGAGGGCAATTCTTAGAGTAATGCAGCCAACTAATCAAATTTTAGTGAAAACAAATTTAACACATTTAAAATATTAAAATATTAAAATTAAATAAATAAATAAAAGATCAGCTTTGAGAAAACTCCTGCGTGCTGATGGTATATATGGAATAGAAATAAGGAACACTTAAATTTAATTTAAAATGTATAAGTTGACTTTTAAACAAGTACAACAGTTGGCATATAGCTTTTCACGGGAGAAGGGGGGGGGGTCACGTCACTCAACTCTTTAAATATTTTAGCCAGACCTGTTATGTGTTTAGGAGTACAAATTGCTGTGTTCAATCATCTAATGTACTTTCCAATAAAAATCCTTATAAAAAAAATCAAAAATGCATTTTATTTTAATAGTACATGTAGCAGAAATGGAATGACTGCATTACAGTTTCTCTTCTTATATTGCATCTATAATATGTTCACGTGACTATTGTTCAGGGTGAATCTGATTAAAATCCAATAGGTATAGGCTCCATTTACATATTTTTTGTTCCACGTCTTTTTAATGTTATTTTTGTTTATTTATGAATATTTTGTTTATTTTATTTGCAGTGATTATATATCGTATTTCGAGCATTAAGGCAACTGGAATACAACATATAAAAAAAATTAAAACATCAAATTATATACATTGATGTAAAAATTAAAAAAAATATGTTTAACAAAACATGAGTATCGGTATATTCAAGCTCATTTTCAAGATCCCCACTAAATGGACAGCCATGAAATGTAACAAACTTAAGGAATAATTTGATGTGTGAATATGTAGACCCATATCTTATATTTATTTGAATGTTACAATGAACAGGGCAGTTATACTTTTGTCTCTGTGGCATTTATCAGTTGATACAGTGCATGTTGAGAACATACACTGTCATCCATTGTTTGGGAAATTAGCATATTCAGATTAGCAGTGTGCTATATTTATCAACCAATCAACATCACTGTCATCCATTGCTTGGTACATTAGCATATTCAGATTAGCAGTGTGCTATATTTATCAACCAATCAACATCACTGTCATCCATTGTTTGGGAAATTAGCATATTCAGATTAGCAGTGTGCTATATTTATCAACCAATCAACATCACTGTTATCCATTGCTTGGAACATTAGCATATTCAGATTAGCAGTACGCTATATTTATCAACCAATCAACATCACTGTCATCCATTATTTGGGAAATTAGCATATTCAGATTAGCAGTGTGCTATATTTATCAACCAATCAACATCACTGTCATCCATTGCTTGGTACATTAGCATATTCAGATTAGCAGTACGCTATATTTATCAACCAATCAACATCACTGTCATCAATTGTTTGGGAAATTAGCATATTCAGATTAGCAGTGTGCTATATTTATCAACCAATCAACATCACTGTCATCCATTGTTTGGGAAATTAGCATATTCAGATTAGCAGTGTGCTATATTTATCAACCAATCAACATCACTGTCATCAATTGCTTGGTACATTAGCATATTCAGATTAGCAGTACCCTATATTTATCAACCAATCAACATCAATGTCATCTACTGCCTGTGGCTGCAAAATCAAGGCAACTTTCTAGACTTTTAATGAGAGGGCAGGAGAACCACGAAATAAGAGGAAGGTAACCAGGATAGTTATTTTCCGAGATTATTTGATATACGCGAATCATAACTAAAACTGACCAGAACTGAACATTATCCCAGTGTATCTATTTAACAAGTTTTATTTGAATTCATAACTGAATTGGTTATTTCAATATAATCAGGTGATATATAATTGGCATGGACATGGAAATGGCCACCAGTCAGTCATTCTTGTTTGAATCTTCAACAAAATATGATGTGCACCCAATATGCATGATCATGAAACAAAGCTGCAAATAAATCGACCTGTTCATTTCCAAGAAACCGTTTTGGGCATGGACTAAACACAAATTAAACTGAAAAAAAAATTAAACTGATTAAAAATTGGGAAACCACAAAACAAATCAGCACAGCAGAGATTTCATGGTACAGTGACATACCTGCAAAGTTCATACTGAAACCTATCAAATCTGACATCTATTTCATTGAAAATTTTCTCAAAAATCTATTTGAATAAATCGCCTGACTAAAGTAGTGTTCATGCTACACGAAGTAAGGGCTATGATTTAAGCTAATCTTGTATGTTTGCATATTGGGTAGACACAATTGTGTTCATGCTCAGGAGGGAACAGTGGTTAGCAGGGGCTAAGGAACACCCAAACTTGTTAAGAATATACAACAATCGTCAGTCATTTTAACTATGACTCAGTACAGTAACTAGGAAGGTATACAAGTTACTTCTACGGTTATAAAACAATACAAATGCAAATATCGGAAAGTGCAGATTGCAGAACAACAAGAAAGAGCACAGAGTCTCATCAGTACATTTCTTGAGAACAAATTTCTTTTAGTGTTTTGCGTTAATTGTCATTTTGGAAATGGCATACCGAATTGAATAGTTATGAATATAATACGAGAAGTAAATCTTCCAAATTAACATTGAATACAACGGCGTTTTGGGTGCTTAGCCTGAGCTAAATGTTAACACACAGGTCTTAAAACATGCCAGATTTAATACATACACAAGTGTTCACACACATTTTCTTTGCATGGCTAAGAAGCTGTCCATGAACGCTACTTGTGACAAAACAGGAAGAGTCGGCTAATAAAGCATCAGCAGTTGATAAACTCTGCCATATAAACAGCATTTCCCACTGCAAACTACTCATTATTGTATACAAGCAATTACAACTTTTGAGTAGCGTAATTACCGAGCGATTCATCCCCAAGTATGCTAATACTTAAGCTAAATAATTCAAACAAGTAATAAATACTTTCCTGTTGTTTGTAAAGTGACTTTTCATATTTCACAATGTATGACCAATCTATGCAAGTAGAAATTTGAACCATTTGCATTTCACAAAATGTACTTGAATAATTTTTTTTTCAAGTCCTATAGATAATGGGAAATTATGCCCATTTAGTCCAAAACAAAGAAATAATAGAAAAATACACACAAATCAGCAAAATGTTACATACATAAAAAATCAAAATTCAATGAGTGGTTCTTTAGATATCAGTGCAACAGTCATGGAACAGCTAAAAATGAGCTAATTATCATGCAAAGTAGGTAATTAATATGCATGGATTTCTACCAAAACCTAATCAAATCTGCGCATTGGCCCAGAGCATCTATGCACCAAGTTTCATCAAAAATTAATGTATGGTTCTTGAGATATCAGTGGAACAGACACACACACACAGACAGACACACTAACTGCAAAGACTCCCTTTTTGTGCTTTGCACACAGGAGTCGAAAATGATAAAATCAGTTGTTATGGCAACAAATTCTGAATTAAATCACTGAGGATCATGGTGTTCTAATCACCAGGTCAAACGTAATTTCCATTGTTCAGTGATTCTAAATTTCAGGATTACGTTAGATTAGCATGCACAAACTGCATGGAATGTAACCTAAAATGACTATTGCTACGTTTACAGGACAGAATTCTATCTGAGCCTAACTATTGCTCTTCGCATCGATTAAAGGGAGATTATCTCCAATGCATTCACATGATCAGAGGCCGAACGAGAGTCAAGGTCTGCCAGAGTTCAACTCAGTTTGATCAGAGTCGAACGAAACAGTGTCCTCAATTACTTAGTATGAAAACATGGCTGAAAACAATTTTTGTGAGTGTGCTTGTGGCATGATGCTGTTGAGCTGGGAGAAAAACAAACGAGTCTGAAACAGTGCACTAGTGTTATGATTTAGGTATCATGAATAAACAGAATACATAGCAGCTAAAATGTTACAGCCTATTCACATTTAGTTAGTTAGTTATTGTCATTCAAATTTACCATCTTTTAATTCTTCAACTGTTGTGATATGAGTAACAATTATCAATCTAAACCTAGTACGGATATGTCACTGCACCGTGACCGATCTAAGATTTTTTATCTTCGGGGTCTTTAAAAAGTTTCTTCAATTTCCATTTGGATCTGTTCAGTCATCCTTTCAAGTTTTTGACGCATAATTTTGTACACCATTTTTGCGCTCTTCGTGGACTTATCAATCTATCATAGTATTTCTAGTTTGATTAATCAAATTAATGGGTTGACTTAGACGACAATAGACGTGCAATTAGTCTATCCTATAGAATTAACAACGGCATCAGCTGGGATGCCAATCTAGTAGAAACTTTTGATAACCAGGATACAGCATTTGTCAATAGTAAAATTGACATAAAATCAACACAGCAGTATTTTCAAACTGATCTACATGCTCATATCCTAAATTACAGTTTTAGCCATCACAATCTGTGTTAAAATTGACTGACTGCTTTTTGCAGTTGAACTCCCTTATTGAATATTATAGAGAAAACCTCGCGAGTCAATTAGGCTGCACACAGATTGCAGCCATATTAGAATCTTGCTACG